ACGTACTCCCAGTGATACCTTTATACGACGTGATAGCTTTTACCCAAATTTTGCACGCATTTTTAAGCGGCTAGTACAAGAATGTGGCATGCCTGTTATATTGGCTCTTAAAGGTGCATTAGATGAGTTTACAAGTGCCAAGGAGAGGCCTAAACAGTGTGTAGCTGCTGAAGCACTGGCAGGCGTGTTACACTCTGATATTGATGGTCTATCAGGAGAATGGGATAGCTGGCTTATGCCCCAGTTAAAGAATATTATTCTAGCACAATCTGTCGAGTCACTTCCTGAGTGGGCCTCTTGCATACGGTATGCAGTTACTGGTAAAGGAAAGTATGGAACTAGAGTTCCTTTATTGAGGCAGCAAATTCTAGATGCTTTGATGGCATCCTTACCTTCAACAGTAGCGACCACTGTAACAGTTAAAAGATATAATTTCTTGGTAGCTGCGCTTGTAGAAGTATCCCCACAGAATATGCCAATAACTGAAATCCAGCTCCACGATACACTTTTGAAGGAAGTGCTTGATAATATGAGTCACTCATCATCCCAAGTAAGAATTCCGTTTACTCCATATGTTCTATTGGTCATCTGAATAAATTTTGAAGTCATATGAATCTTACTGGATTTCATAGAACTAGAACCTATGAAGCACTGATAGTTTGAAAACGTAAATGTACCCACATTCTATGCGATATGCGTACTATACTTCATCATACGTATCATATATTCTACCATATGTATTGTTATGTTTTTTTCATCAAAATATTTCTATATAACTTAAAAAAGATTAATATTTTGCTTGATTATTATGAATAGTTTTATATTTCTTGTTTAAAACTCAAGATACCCATACTGATCCCCTAAAATATTGAAATATAATTATGTATTCTTGCACCTCTATCGTAAAATTTTGAAAAATTGCCATATTCAATGTATCATGCTGTCTTGTAATACATGTGTCTGTATTGTTTAAGAGCATAATTTTTGTTATAGAAGCCATGCTGAATGTACTGATTTTGTCTTTCATTTATTATAGTGTAAAATATTATTTTCTTGGGAAGTGTATAGGGGTAAAGTTGGAAAGTTGATATATTTTAAAGCAGCATTAATGCATTTTAAGTTTTTTTTTTGGGGTTCGTGTGAAACGTTGGAAATGCCGTATAAATAGGATCAAAGGTGTATCTTCTAATTTCCAAGAGCTACATAATGTGTTCTGGATTTTCTTAGTATAATTATGTTAATATTACTAGAAATCATATGACTTCACTGCATCATTGGAAGCTCTTTTAGAAACAATTTCAGAAGAGGAAAAGTGACATTTGTTTCTATTGGACAGGTGAGGCAGGTTTTAGGTATCACCCTCACAATATTGTGCTCTAACATCCGTCTATATCATTCAAGTCATCATGATAATGCATATGATGAGAGACAAAGCGATGCTGATAATTTGTTAAAAGATGCAAGCTGGGTTCAGTTTCTTATAGAGCGAGCTGCCGAAGCAGTTGTGAACATTCAGAATGCTACCCAGTCAGACAAAGGGGTGAATTCTATGGATGTAAATCTTGAAAATGGACTTCCGGATGGTGATTCAGAAGTTGATATAAAATGGATGGAAACGGTACTAATAGGCGCAAGCATATAGGTTTTGGTTTTACTTGTAAAATCTTTCACTGATTGTTTGCTATTCTTCATTTATGTAGCTATTTTACTTCATCTTCTCATCGTTGAAGTCTGGGAGATCCTCTTATCTGCTTGATGTGATTGCGGGGCTTCTTTATCCCGTGATTTCCCTGCAGGTTTGCCCCATGTCTCCAATTATAATTGTAATATTTAAAAGACTTATTTTGATTCTCAGTGCTCTGTGTTTCACTGCAGCTACTTTATATTCTTGTGTTTGTTTTTAGTAATCTCTTGTCTTAGGACATTGATCTTCGACATCATTGTATGGAGCAGGCTTATACGAGAATACTTGTGGTTGACATTTTTTTAACCTGGATCATTACCTTTTGTTCTACACCCCTCTCGGTCAAACATTTGGTGCATTAGTCTGTCAATTCTATATCTGACTTGCTGCTGCTTTTAAATCCTTCCCGCTATATGTTTAGTCACTCTTTCCATTTTAGGGTATGGTTGGAAGTTGGTCATTATTCCTGTGATACAAATGCTGAATAAGATTTTTTTTGCCTCCCTTAAACTAGTTTTATTAAGAGCTCATAATTTCTTGGGTTAGTTGTAGGATGGTTTATATTTCGGCCCTGGGCTTACTCCGGTCATTGGCAATAGACCATACAACCAAATCTAGAATATCAAGACTCTTGTGATATCTAACTCTGCTCATATTTAATGACTATTCCCTCCTCTTTTTCTCTTTTTCTTTTATTTTTTCTTTTGGAGTAGTTAAATACTATGATGGTTCCATTGCTTTAACTTTTGGTCTGTTATTCAGCAATATTAAAGTTTCTTTTTTATTTTTCAAAAGAAATGTTATTATATGTTATGTAAGTAAGAATATTTTTTTTAAAAAAAAGCTTTCCAGTGTAAAAGTCAAGAGTTTGTGATGCTCAAATAGGGTTTGAGCAAATTAGATGAAATTGTGAAGTACTCATTTTGTCATTCCATTCTCACGATAAATAATTGGATGGTTTTGATTGGCAAAAAGAAAAATGAACGGTTTTGAAAAATATTGGCATATATTGAAATAAAAGCGCAATGCTATTGTTTTAATATTCATATGACAGAGGCAGTCTTCTTGTCTGTTTTTTTTCCCCCCTTCAAATAGAAGTCGGAAAACTTGTGCATGACGTTTATACTGATATTGTCAAGTTTCCACTCTTTTGAGATTATATATTTTGGTAGCACTTTCATTTACTGAGTGAAACAGGAGTAGGAATATGCTGGGAACTTTTAAATGCTTATCATTGCAAGACTTGTTAATGGAGAAAATGCTTATTTTACTGTGGATTCCTATAGTTGTAGATGGTGTTTCACTGTGAATGTTATTTATATTCCTGAAGTATTAGATTCCATCATGATCTACATGGAGAGGGTATTGCTTTTTTTCATTCATGGGTAATTTTATGTGCTTTTGAAGGAAACATCAAATAAAGATTTGTCAACATTAGCCAAGGGAGTATTTGAATTACTTAAATGGAGTATTTTCCGGGAACCTCACCTCCAGAAGGTTGTCTCGGTGATTTTATCTGCTGCAAATGATTCCAATTGGAGAACTAGATCTGCTACATTGACATATCTTCGCACTTTCATGTATAGGTACGATAACTTTTTGATTTTGCTTTGTCAGAGCAGATCAGGTGTTAAATTCTTAACAAGTGATGTCACTTGCTTCCATGCTTTGTAATATTAGCAACTTGTACTTCATAGTTAGATTTATTGACTGATAATTACTTTTACTCATATAACAGGCACACTTTCATTCTCCCAAGTTCAATGAAACAAGAAATTTGGAGAACTGTTGAGAAGTTGCTTGTAGACAACCAAGTTGAGGCAAGAACTTAGCACTAAACCTATATGAATTGCAATGTAGAGTAGTCATTGTTATCCCTTGTTTAGTTAGTTTGCCCCTTCTTTCTGGGAGAACCAGGTTGTGGAAAAAGATCAATATCATCCTCCTAATCTGCTTCTGTGACTTATGTTTGAGATTAGTTATAACTATTTTGTACGTTACTACCAGTACGTGTGTGGTTCCTCGTGGTTACAGAATATAATATTACATACAAGCAATGAACACCATATCTGGACTTGTGTTGTGTACCTTGCTTGCTGCTTTTCTGTCTCTATTACGTCTTAAAGAGTGGAATTATTTATACCTTATTTTGAAAAACTTGATTTCTGTGTCTAGGTAAGAGAGCATGCAGCAGCAGTTTTAGCAGGCTTATTGAAGGGAGGAGATGAAGATCTAGCTAAAGATTTCCGTGATAGAGCTTATGTTCAGGCAAATGTTTTACAGAAGAGAAGAAGGATGAGGTTGCCCTTTTCTCCCTTTGTTCTGGGATGCGGTGTTGTGATGTTTAAGAATCGTCAGCCTTTGAAAAATCAGTGCTGGCTTCTTGTCTTTGAATTCTACATGTTATCTGTTGTGCATGGTCTTGTGAAATTATCTGTAATCCTAGCTGTGGGTCTTCGGCAAAAATTAACAAGGAAAATACACTGTTTGACTTCCTCTGCATGGAGACTCTGTGGAGTTCACTTTTTAAACTTTTTGTGAAAGTAATGGCATCTGCGGTGTTTCTGTCCTTTAGATGCCTCAAGCAACATATATCAACTGATTGAGTAGTTCTTATGACCTTGTCTTGATTGGTCATTTATTTAGTTCTATTTCTTATCATATGTATTAAATATCTTGCAAATTTTTTGCTGCAGAAATGCAAGCTCTGGTTCATCAGTAGCATCAGTTCATGGTGCTGTGCTAGCATTGGCAGCTTCTGTTTTATCAGCCCCTTATGATATGCCCAGGTTTGTCCTGTTGAAAGAAATAATATCCTAATATCATTTTAATTTATTTTTTTTAATGTATTCACCCATCATTTTCTCTCTCCCACTCCCTTTCTTGTTTAGCTGTTATCTCACTTCATCAAATAATTCATTTCAGCTGGTTGCCTGAGCATGTTACACTGCTGGCTCGCTTTAGTGGGGAGCCATCTCCTGTGAAATCTGCGGTAACGAAAGCAGTTGCGGAGTTCAGGCGGACTCATGCAGATACTTGGAATGTTCAGAAAGAATCATTTACTGAAGAGCAACTTGAGGTAGCTTTTTAAAGAGCCAATTATATTTCTTCCTGTGATTCATCATATTTAATTATTACTTGCTGTTTATTTTCAAAGATTCTTATTTATTTATTTTATTCTTGACTATACTGGCAGATTCTGGCAGATACATCCTCATCGTCATCGTATTTCGCTTAATCCAATATTAGCAAGAAGTGGTTAAAAGAGTACTGAAAATATAGTATGCGTAATATGTTTTCCATTTTTATTTTTTTTGTGTATTCATAGTTTGTAAAAATAGCCATTATCTACATTTGTATCATTGATCATCTTCATAGGCAGCTTATTCTTTATTTCTGATGTCGGAATTCTTTCCCTTCTTTGTTCTGTGATCTTTCTTATACCATGGGATTAATCAGATCTTCTGATGGTAAATCCCACAAAACACACTGGGCGTTGAATAAATCGGATGCACTTCTAATTTCTTTTGCAGTATTGGAATCATCTTCATTTTCTTCTTGAAGTTTTTCATGTAACTGGCCTTGTTGATCCATGGCTGTGCATGTACTTCCGGTACACACACTTTGGCTCCATGGTGATCCATCCCCATCGTTGGCAAACGACACAGGACTAAATTGAAACCCAGTCACTGTAGGAAAGACACTGCAAGTCCCCTCAAAACTGGCTGTTGTAGCTGCAGTGCAGTCCCACGGTTTATTTGGGGTTATCATTTCAGATTCTTGCATAACCTTGGATAACCCAAACTTAATCTTCTCAGAAGTGTCTTGCTTCTCATCAGGTTTATAGTTCATGAAAGAGGTAATGTTAATGTTATTCCCCATTTGTTCAGTGGGGTTTTGAGCCTGGAAGTTAATCTTCTTCTTAGTAAGAAGATGAAGCACCTCGTCTTTGAAGCAGCCGAGAGCTGCTTCAGCTAGGTGAGCTGCCTGTGGGGGTGCCAATGTTGTTGCAATTTCGGCCATCAGGTGGGAGAATGGCTTGTGGGTGACAGGGTCGATTCCCATGCCTGAAAGTTTCTTCCTCAGCTTGGTGTTCCAGTGGTTTTTGACGTCATTGTCAGTGCGGCCTGGGAGCTGGGCTGCTATTAGTGACCATCTGAAAATATATTAAGCCATTGTGTTAGTATTTGATATATCTACCCATTCTTTTTCTTGGGCCACTTAGTATGTATTCGTTCTAGTGTTTAAGAAATTAAACATGCCCCCCTTGAGCTTCCAGAGTCTATGGGTTAAAAGATACTAGGTATAAACATTCTTCTAATCTCTAGTATAATAATGGAGGTTTCAGTATGGTCATTCTGCTAGATTTAAGGGGTGTTTGGAAGCACCCAAAAGTTCGTAAAATGAGGCAAACTCTTCTATATATTTATTTCATACACCGTAAAAATACTTTTAAAATCATGGTTTTGATTCCATCCAAACACCTTAGTTATGTTGAAATAAATGTCTTATGTTCTGTTGCCGCCTTTTGTACAGGGGAGAATGAGAATTAACTCGCCGAGGTAGAATGACTGATCATGAAGTGAAATAAAACACAAGAGAGGTGGCCTTTTTTGTCAATCTCTTGTTGTCTTGTGCAAGTTCACTTTATGAGCTGTCATACATAGTCGATAGGTGTCAATTGGAATCAAGTGCCTAAGTTCATGGTAATGTCATCAATTCTCCAGATAACAGGGATGAGACAAGGCAGATGACATATGAGGGATAAAATCCTTAGGATAATTAATAATTCCTAGAAATTGTTGAAAAAAAAACGTTTGATAAAATTTATTGGGATGATGATACATTAAAAAGTCAATTTTAGAAGATCCAAATATGGAGAGAAAAAAACAAAATTTAGAAAAGTTATCATGATTTTAAAGTGATTTTTAAGCAGAAAGACATTTATTCCTAATCATGTTAAATATCATTTTAGGCTTAAATTGATTTTTCGGGTTTGAAAAATCACTTGTAGTGAGCTGAAAGCCATGTCAAACAAATTGTTTATGTTAAAAAATTGTGAGAGGCCAAAAGCAGAGGTGATTTACCGGTTACCAAAAACAGAGTGGAGCTTCACAATGGTTTGCTCTTCTGAGTCTGAAAACTGACCATGCTTGAGATCAGGACGGAGGTAGTTAGTCCACCTGAGCCTGCAGCTCTTTCCACACCTCTGGAGGCCTTCATCTCAACCAAAATCAAATTCAAGTAAGCTTTATCGTCCACATTAATAAGAACAGGACATGAAGCCAGAGACAAGACAAGACAACAAACCAGCATTTTTAGGAATAAGGCGCCAATTCCTAGTACCATGTTGAGCAATGTAGGAAGAGAGCTTGTTGTCTTCCTCAGGTGTCCACTGTCCTCTTTTAACGTTGTCCTTCTCGCAGCATGGAATACGACCCATATCTCTGTACCAATTATCTATTTGAGAACTGCCTCTTCTTCAGTGTTTGGAATTGTTTTGAGGGAAAAAGAAAAGATGGAGAGTAATTGTTTTTAGGCTTATTTTTGTGGGTTTGGTCTGCTGTACTTTATATATCAAGTGGATGCGCATGGGTGAAGAGAGAAGAAGAGCATCAAAGAGGCATGAGGACATTAAAGAATTCAACGCTGTAGAGAGCGTGTGTTCGAGAGGCAGGTAGCTCACCCACAAGATGCCTGGTCAACCTTTCCCTCGTTGACTCTCTCTCTCTCTCTCTCTCTATCTGTGTGTCTGTGACTGTGATTTTGCTTCTTTGTTCTGATTGGCTAGCTTTCTTCTTTCTGCTTTGTTCAGACAATGCCTTCTTCCCCCCACACGAAGCCATAGATCTTCCTTCATGTGCCCCTCTCGTATTATCATCTATCTTTAGGCAACTTTCTGTTCTGAGCTTCTGGTGCCTTTTCGTTTTGCTTTGTGTAAACTCGATGCAGCACATTACTCCCATTTACGCGGAATCTTCGAACAGTACATGTTATTGAGCTTCTCAAAAAACATATTAGCTCCAGTCCTAAGTATAAAACCTGGTTTTTAAAAGGATTGGAAGTAGTATTTTGCTATCTTCTTATTGATTGAAATTGTTCACATTAGAAATCTGTCCGGATTCATAAATTTAATTGAGATTTATAATTTATCATTATTTTTCATCTTGTTTTTTATGGTGAGGTTCTGCGAAAACATGTATACATGCTAGAAATTGATTACTATTTCATAGATAAAATGGTCTTCCGAGGAGCAGTTATTTCAAATGTTCAATATATTATTATATTATAAAGAAAATGACGTCAAAAACATTGCACAAAATAATACTCATCAATTTGACAATTTGCTCTTCCTTTTTATATATCTTCCTATTAAGAAGCAAAAGCCAAACCACATTACAAGGTTCTGTAGCAGAACTAAAATTATTCTGCAATTTTCACCCTTCACAAGAAATCTAGCCTCCAGACTAAACCATATTCTTCCTTCTTTCTCATTCTGGGAGTTGCTCCTATTTTTTATGTTCGCTACCAGTTTTCTTATAAACATTACACGTGTAATGTTTTTTTATTGTAAAACTTGGTAACAAACACTTACAATACTTTACCTCAATGTGTATCTAAAGCATAATGATAAATCTTCTTCAGCCAAGTTTCTGGCTTATGATTCCTTCCAGAGACCCAATAAGACCTACCACAGTAACAAGAAAGCAAACGAAGCTAAAACATCTGAGCACAATCCATTTTCTGCTCCAAGCTTCAATTTTCTTCTGTACAAAGTACATCTCCACTGGGAAATATATAGCCAATGGCCAAAAGCTCATCGCCCCTAACACTCCCAGAACTTGGTTGAAGTAAGGAAACAGGATTCCAAGCCCTGTGGTTGTAATCACATACACTGTTCTAAACACAAACTTGAAGGTATTTATCTGGAAACTTGGCAACAGAGGCAGTTTCAGCTTGTAGAAGTTATTCACAAACCCGCTGTTTGGGAATTTTCTTGAAGCCCATCCTTCTGCAGAACTGTATATGGGTTGGCTGAAAATCTGCGGAAAAGAGAACCATAGTTACTAAGAGTTAGAGAACATGATAAAAGAGGAAGTTACGTGTCAAAATTCATGTTAAAAACAATGACTAGTATAGCAGTAGAACTACCTGATACCCTCCAATCAAATGAAGAATAATGCAAACATTAGCTAAGTCAATGAGCCAGTAAGGCTCATAGAAGCCAAAGCCTGTCAAGAGATTTCCTGGTGTGTTGTTTCCAAATGCTGCATATCCAAAGCATCCACAACAGAGGTAGAAGAATGTTGTAATGAAGATTGCAACCATGGATGCTTTCTTCATGGTCTGGTTTTCTGGAGGAGGAGACTCTAAGGTATCCTTCACTCAAAGAGGGGGGGGGGGTTCAGTGCTATGCTTTAGCTTTAAACTGTGTTTCTTCTTCTTCTTCTTTTCAACACTGGGATATGATATTTACCTGTATCTCGAGCAGAATGACCGAGTATGGATAGGCGAAGGCTATGTCACCAAGTGCTTGAAAGATTAACCATAACTTCTCAACTACATTCTTTGCAGGTACTCCTGTTACGCTCCCCATGATTCTCCCATTTTCTGCAATATCAGCCATAAGGAGAATGACTTATATAAAATCTTGATTTCCCATACTTTTTTTCCATTCATTGTTTCAGAAATATAACCCACAACAGACTTTCTCTCAGTTCGGTAGATTTTTATAGAGACTATTATTTTAAATGAAAAGTTTAAGTAATTAACTGAAAGACTATATATAATTCTATGATAATCTGTTAGACTGCAGTATACCCTCTTTAAGCTATTTGAACTTAAGTGTGGCAAAAAATTAAGCCGTAAGCCCATCATTCTTTAATACTACATCAAGAACTATTGAAGCTCAAAAGTTTGAATTGTAAAATGAAGGCAAGGCTTGATATTGTGACAGCAGCATTTTAATATTGAGGCTTACCTATAGTTTGAGCAATGCCAAGTCCTAGTCCAATGAATGAGTACGTGAAGGACATTATTGCAGCCACAACTGAAACCCACGCCATGTTGTGGAGATCTGGTATGAATGACATGATAATCTGAATGCATCCAAACAAAACCATAAACAAGGTATCCCCATAATTGCAAGGAGCGTTGTGCCCTTCCTTGTGATAACAGTTTGATTTTAGAATTGCCCTGCATCAGAAAATCAAATATTTGTCTTTAGAACATGTTAAAAACATCAGCAATCACACAGCCTCTGTGTCAGCATCATCTATCCATCAGTAGACTACACTTTAAACTGTACTTCAACATGGCATATTTTGTTGTCGTATTTTGTATTGGAGCAAGTTTTGAAACTAATTGTTCATGAAACACAAGATTAAGTAGTTAGCATTTGCAGTTTTCTCATTTCATGAGGGGTTTAACAAGTGAAGTACCTCATACATGTTGCTGTGGTAATTACGTAAGCAACACAAGTCCCATACAAGGTCAGAAATTGAAGGGAACCAGCCACCCATGTCCTTTTATTTCCTGAACTAACACTAAATTGAATCAGAATGTATAAACATGACACCATATCTTATTTTACAAACGTTTGACACTTGTATCAGACACGACACAACGCCTGAAACTGCACTTAAACAATACATATGTTGTGGTCATGTCGTATCTGAATTAGTGTTTGTGCTTCTTAAATAGACAAGAAAAATGAAAGAGTTGGCGTGGTAATAGTACCAAGGTAGACTCTAACAGCTCCAATGTAAGAGTAGTTTCTTTTGCCAGATTTAGAATCTGAGGTTCTGTAACAATCAGAGACGAGGAAGGAGGAAATGTATGTGACAATTGCAAATAGAAGCAAGGCAACTGGACCAGCAATCCATCCTAATTGGGAAGTGCTCCATGCCAGTGAAAGCACACCAGAACCAATAACAGCAGTAATGATGTGAGCAACGGCACTTGTCAGTGTTCCTGGTGTAGTGGAATTTGAAGGATGAGATTGAAGAAGAAGAAGAAGAATACATGAAAGATAATTTGGTTTTTAGTTGTTGTAGAGGATTTTTACCGGTTCTTTTGGCTCGCCCATCATCATCATAAGGACCACTTGCTATTTGTAGAGAGTTTTGAACAGCCATCTTTAATCCAAAATCCCAGATCAATAGAAGGCCAAGAAGTTCTTAGTCACTCCCTGTGAATCCCACAAGACAAAAATGCCTAAGAGAAGCACATTCAAGACAAACTATACCCTCATATAAAATATGAAAATCCTGAGCCTAAGATAGTAAATGTGTGTCGTGTCTAATGTCAGTGTCTGAGCAGAGAAGTTGAATTGAAATCTGGAAAAAGAACATTTGCTGGTGTGACTGTGTATCATCAACGTGTGATTCAAAGAACCTGAACTAAAGAAACATTTCAATATATATAAGACCAAACAAGACTCTCAAATCTCAATTACCAATGAAGCTCCCTCTGCTTTTTGGCTCAAACCTAAAGCTGGGGTTCACTATAAGTAGAGAAGAAAAAGTCGTGAAGGATACCCAACGTGACGTAGTTGCTTATTTGAAGCTATGAAGCAAACAATGAGGTAAGATGTAATTGCTTCAGAATTATTATCAGCAGACTTTGAAGACTGCACTAGTCATCATGACAAACTAATAATGCAGGAATGATCTGCAACCATCTACTTTATGGGGCTAAGTAGTAAAATATTCAACCCTTGGGGACCAAATCTTTCAAGACATGTGAGTGGGTAGGCATACCAATTGCTTAAATCAAAAAACGAGTGCCGTGTGTGCTTTTATTATATGTTATATAATATTCCACTTTTTCGCGTTAACAGTGTGTGCCGTAGTGTGTGGTTTCTTTCAGTACCTAAAGGCGAGTTGAACCAAGCAAGTTAATAGAAAACAACATGTGTGTTTTATCTTCCATGGTGTTCAAAGAGCCTCAATAATGGTAGACCCCGTGGGGAGGGGGGGACATTTTTTTGTGGCTGCATAAGCAAGTGGATGGCTTGTCCTTATCCATAAGGGTTAATCATGGTGAAGAAGTGCGTTGGACTTTTGAGGACTTGTGAAGTTAAGTATAGGGATCACAAGATAAAACATGAGATCTAACTAAGAGCATGTTTGGTTTCACATCAGAAACCAGTAAAATTATAGCACGTTATATCAAAATCATGATTTTGATGACTTCCAACATAGAATCAAGCACGGGCAGTTTAGAGTACTCAAATTTATAACCACACAAGATTCTGATAATGTTCTGATGAAGATTGTCTTGTTTTGTGTGTAGGAGGTGTGTTGTTTGAAACGTGATGGACAATATTTGTGTTAAACACCACAAGAATCCCTTATTGCATGTTATGATGTCTTTGTCTTATGCTATTGTCCACAAGTGTCAAGTGAATAATTCTGTAAAGGGAAAACGTAATGTAAAGAGTAGTTAAAATTTACCTTGTAAATAATAGTATTCATCTAGACCCTACAACAATTTTTGGATCCTTTCTAGCTTGGTAGAAGTCAAAGTAGCAAAGGCTATTATTTTTCATCAAACCCATGATCTGAATCAATTCATGGATGGATATCTTTATATAATAAAAAAATTGATACCAAATTATATTAATGTTAATAAACAAATTTAAACCATTTTAATGGCATATCCAGTGTGCTGTAAATTTAGTTGATCAAACATTGAAATCATGATGGGGCCTTGACACCCTGGTAACTTGATATTTACAGCATATATATTCAGAAACTACTGAGTTATGACAAGAAATGAAAATAGAGTTGAGAGCTTTTTGCTAAAATGACCGGCCAACCATTTTTGGAAGTTAAAGATATTTATGTCGACCGTTTGATGTAATTAATGTGGCAAGAGACAAATTGAAAACTTATAACTAAAATATTTCAGAAAATGAAATACTAGTACTATAATTAAAAGATGGCGGTTGCCGTTCTAATGCACAGAGACTCAAGAGCCTGGTTGGTTATCCGTTTTTAATGGCTGGCACACGTTTTGATGCACAGTTTTGAAAGGGCGTCTTCATAATTTCACACAATGATGATGATGATGATGATCAAAAATATATTCTCCCTGGTTTTTATTATATGGCATTTTCAATCACCTCATGAAACTTAAAAATAGGTGGTTAACTTATTTTGTTTGGAAATAAAAAGATTTAACTAATTTTCAAATAATGAATTATATCTTGAAAAACGAAAAATATATTAAATTAACATGGGTAATTTACCTTATTTGGTAACTTATAATAATTATTATTATCAATAAATATATTTTAATTTTTTTAAATACTCTTTTTTTTTGCCGACTTAAATATTCTTATTGACTGTTTGAGATAGTGACTATGGATTTAATGATGAAAATAGATATTTCTAGTAAAAACATGGAAAGGAGGTACAAATCTATTTTAAAATATTTCTTACAAGTACAAAGAGCTATTGTTTTAAATTAAAGAGTCACTGAGACAGGGAGAAGAACCCCTCCGGCCTCAAATTACTCCCCTCCGTTTCTTATTATAAGAGATAATAACTAAATTACGTTGATAAAAAAAAAGTTAAAATTAGTTGAGGACAATTAATGTGTAAAAAGTATAATATTTTTCTAAGCTAATGTTAATAAGGAGAGAGAGTATGGAGGAACAATTAAATTATTCAAAGAAAGAGAGTGGGAGGGAAAGAGAGTATGAGTTGGAGACAAAATAAATAGGGGTAAATAGGAAATCAATTAAAAATTAGAGACAACTTTTAAGTGTCTCTTATATATAGAAACATGACGTAAGCATCAATGTCTCTTATATAAGGAACAGAGGGATAAAAATTAAAAATCGAAGTTTCTCAAATTGATAGCCTCAGATGCAAGTTTCCAGGGGTCGAAAAGAACATGTGAAAAGCCGGGAAATCAAAAATTGTTTGCTTCTTTCCTTCGAGGGAGAAAAATAAAAACAAACTTGCTTCCAAAGGTATCACTGAAATTTACTTAATAAACTTGAATCTTTACTGACATTTAAGAATTCATTTATTTAAAATAGAATAAATTTATCTTGTAGCCTCCCCTATGCTTATTATAATAGCCTGTTCCTTTGAAGCTCACAGTGGATCAGACACACTAATTTAACATTCTTGAGCCTGGTTAGCTACCAAACTACTCGAGAAGATAAAACCTACCAAACAAGCAAGACCATAAATAAATAAATACCAAAACGGGAAATGAATCGAATATGAGAAGGAGTAGTTTTATATTATGGGGACCGTGTGGCATCTGATAAACTAGACGACCAGATTCATTTGCTTTCTGATAATGTCACAAGCAGGAATCTAAGGATCCAAAAGAGTGATGAACAATGTATGGTGCATATGTGCTTTATATATATATATATATATTCCTTTCTGTGATTCTGATGGGTTAATAATGGATGGGAACGGACATTTTTGTTCCTTTTTCAGTTGAATTTTCTAATAATCTCATCCAACCGGGGTTTGAACATATGATGGATACGTCAAGAGTTTTGAACTGCATAATTTTCGGTTCCTGTCAACTGATTCCAATACATAGCATAGAAAAAGTAGGTATAATAATTTGGGATAGAAAAAGTAGGTATAATATTTGGGATAGAAAAAGTAGGTATAATAATTTGGGATGTTAGATAGACTTTCGAAAGTTTGACTGCGACATAAACCCTACTTCATATATATGCATTGTTATTCTTTTCTTTTTTTTGGAATATATACCAAATATTTGACATGGGAAGCCCTAGCCCATACTTTATATCTGAGATTGACTTGCCCTACTATATACTTCAACCAAAGTTCTTGTACTTTTTCAGGTGTGTGCGCGTATATATGTATTTGCCAAACTTTTTGAGGAGTATATTAAGTTTCACATTAAAAATATTCAAAATCATGGTTTAAATGGAATAAAGAAAACCTTAAATTTCATAAATTCTGTTTGTATTTAATATTATAATCTACACAATACTACCTCTGGTTTTTAATACAAAAGCTAATTTAACTTTTAATTTGATGTTAAATATAAGACTCTAATATATTTTGTCTCTTATATTTATTTATTTATTTCCAAAATAGTCTTTGTAGTAGTTGCACATGTTAAAAGTTGAATCAAAGAATAGTTTTAGTTGATACATGATTAGTAAAAGTATTTTAAAAAAAGATAATACTTAATTATTACAAATAACCAACTGAACGAACTTCCTAATTTACTCAATTAATTAATTAGTTCTTATATTAAGGACACAGGATAGTAATAAATAGAGGATCAGTAAGTATATATTCATGTTAAAAATTAATGATATAATTTTGTAAAATAGAACAAAAAAATCTTCTCTTTATACCCTATAAATAGGAGTAAAGAAGCGTGTGCATATTAGACTAACCTTTGAAGTTAGTGATTTCTTTTTTTCTTTTTTTTTTTTCTAAAGCATAGGTATTCTCTTATTTAAATTAATTTTATTCAAAATACTATTAGGTACTAAATGTATATCTTTCTTAACCTTTGCTCTTTGCTCCGCTGGGAAAGGAGCTGGTCCCTCACGTCAAAACGATGGTGAGGTTGGTCCTGTTGATTGGGCTTGATCGAAGATGACAACCTCCAAATGGGACCGTATGGGCCCAATGGCCTGTTAACTTTATGGACTTTTGTGGTCGTTGGATTATAAGCCCATCCCTCTGACGTCGTTTCCTCACTGTATTATTGTCCTCAGTCCTCACCTTTATTATTATTAATTTATTATTAGGGATAAGGTACTTATATATGTCCGAGCATTCATAAAGGAACACTCAACATTTAAAATTTTTTTTAGCTCTTGTATGTTTTAAAATTTTTATTTTGTAGCATTTTTACGTTTATATAGAATTAGAAAAAATTCCAGAAAAAACCCTTGAAATCTAGGAAATTTCAGATTGGATCCTAATTTCGTAAATGACAGAAAGGGTCACTGACCCAATCTATCATTTGTGAAATTAAGAGAAATTGACAATTTTACCCCTGACTAAGTAAAAAGTGAGTAGTTATTCTTTAAACAAATCTAGGTAACGCATACACTGTTCTAGTGATTACAGGATTAGTTGTAGTTAATAATAAGGTACGTGGCTATGAAAAAGTGAGTAGTTATTCCCTATACGAATCTAGGTAATGCTTACATTGTTCTAGTGATTACAAAATTAGTTGTAGTTAATAACAAGGTACGTGGCTGTGAAAAAGTGAGTAGTTATTCGCTACACGAATATAGGTAACGCCTGAACCTTTAGTGATTTTTTAATTATTGTAGTGAATGAATACAAATGAGGGTAAAGTTGTCAATTCTTCTTCTTGATTTTACAAATGACAGATTGGGTCACTGACCTTTTCTGTTACTTACGAAATTTCAAGACCTAATTTAAAATTTTTTATATTCCAATAACCTTTTTTGGGATTTTCTCTAAAAATTATTAAAAAAAAACTTTGAGATGTTAAGTACTCCTCTTAAATGCTTCCGACATATATAAATATCTTATCCCTTATTATTATTATTGGGCAAATAAGTCAGTACCAGTGTTGCCTCTTTCACACTTCTCCTTACTTTTTTGTCGTCTTCTTTTGATTTGAGCTGTTTCAGCTTTTCAAAGTTTCAACTCACAACTTGATCAACTTGTGAATTTTCTCTGACAGACTTGTTTTGATCATTGTCGTCCGGAGAAAAGAAAAGAGGTTGTTAGACCATTTTTTAAT